AGGAATTCAGGGGGAGCCTAGCTGATTAGATAGTCAAGATAGCACTGTTGACATTTTCTGCATATGATATAAATGAGTGAGGATAGGATGGAATATCTTTGGGCAATAATAGAATTCAAAGAGGTTTGTTGTTAGGCTAACCCAAGGAGAAATGGAGACAAATAAAGGGGGCTCAAACATGAACTAAAAGTGAAGAATCTTTGGAACTTAAAGCAGTCTGTTGTTTGGGAGATATTAGGAAATACTATTCCCAGCCTGTAGCTGGAAATTTGGTAAAATTAATAGCTTTATCTTAAAGAATGCTGAAATTTAGATTTTCTCAACTGTTACATATTGGTCATGTTTGCTAACCAGATAAACTGTTGTGTGCCAAGGCACTCGAGCCACAAATTTCCCAGGAGAACAATAAAACACACTGATACAGAGTATTTTGGTTTATGGGTTCAAATAGGCCACAACTTAATTGGTTACAGATGTGAGTGGTTTGGCTTAGGCACTGGGGTGAAGCCAGGCTATATCTTGACTCCTGCCCATCTGCAGGGAGTCCATTGAAGGGTAAACCACCGATAGGGGGTGCCCTATGACTTACATCAGATAGTGGCACCCTGAGGGGTCCCCGCAAGGGCAGTGACATGGCCCTAGTTTACGCCCAGGCTTCAGCAGGGGCGTAGGAAGTGGGGGGCGGGGGCGGGCCACCCCAGGTTCCATCATGGAGGGGGTGACAAATTATCAAGGAACAATTACTGCCCTACTAGGGCGGTTCATAAAAAACGTTTTTTTGAAAACGCCTGCTCCAAAGGTCTTATCTTACTATGCTAGGGATTATATAGCTATATATGAAATTTCATTCATATCCTCCATGAAAATAGCTATTTACTTGGCTGTTTTCCTATGTCGTGAAGGTTGAAATTTCAGTTCAGTGGAGCACTTACTGTTCCCAACCCTAACCCTGCAGAAAAGCATCTAATTAGACTTTAATTTGATTTTGTCATGTTTTTAGGAGGTAATTTAATTATTGTTTGATTTTAGACCAATGTTATATATCTGATGTTAGCCACCCTGAGCCCGACTTCGGTCGAGGAGGGTGGGATATAAATAAAAAATTTTATTATTATTACTTATTATTATTATTCCTTTGTAAGAAAATATGAAATAATGTAAACCATTTTTGCAAGCAAAAATAAATAAATCAATGTGTGTGGGGATTTGACAAGAAATTTTCTGCACCAGGTACCACCTGACCTTCCTACACCTCTGGGCTTCGGACAGTATTCACACCCCGGATCCCTTTAACAGGATACCTTTACTGAAGAGGGGCAGGTGAAGGTAACAACCCCCCCTCCAACCAAACGAAGGCTTACCCAATGCCTAACCGCACAAAGGTTGTGACGATTGGTACTAGGTAGGCGAAAACCAAATGGCTGGTGCCAATTTGCCAAGCTTATCGGAGGGTAGAACATATTAAAGAAAATTCCCACAGTTTCAAACCATTATTCAAGAATTGAGTTGTTCTCTGCGTATTCTCCACCCTATAGCAAATGAACCTTTAGCAAATCAGGCAATCATATTTGATTTATCTCTGCTCTAGTGCTAGCTCACACATAGAATAGATATGATCAATAAAATAGTGCTGGCTGCTCTGCCAATCCTCTTCTTTTCCACAGTCAAAGGGGGAAAATAATTGACTTGGGAACTGAAAGCGAGGGCTGTGTAAGGTGCAACCCAAATAAACACCTAAATCCAAATCCCTTCTTGCACTTGGATTTCACACAATCTAGAAACTTAACAGCTAGACTTAGGAATGCTCAAGAAAACTTATTTATTTTTTGAGTACTATTTTGGGATATGGGTTGTATCCTGTGTAGAGCTAAGGCAAATGTTCCTGCTTGACCACAGAACATCCCCCCCATGTGCCCACTGTATCTGTTCCAAGGGCTCCCCCAGTCCTCTGAAGTAGATTTCGGGTGGGTGTGGGCACACACGAGAGTGGAAAAGGAAGCCCCTTTGTATAAGCTGGAACTCTAATGCTGATGGGATTTGTTAGTAGACCAATCCCCTTTATTGTCAATCCGTGCCCTGAAATTTCATCATTCTGATGTTTGTGTCTGCTTTGAAAAGGCTCTGTGTCTGAGGAGACGAGTATTTTTATGTAGAGATGTTCCTAATTGTACCCAGATTCCTCAGGGAAGCTATTTAAATAAAGAAGACAAAGAACAGTGGAAACTTGATAATATGAGTGGTAATGCTGTTCTGAAAGCTACATTAACTTGCTATTTTATCTAATATGTTTGCTTCTTCACTTGTCCAATTATACTTTCATTAGCAAACTAAATAATGTGTTACTTAAGCATTTAATTTCCAGTTGCATAATGCTGCAGTTTACGGAAAAGTAATGTGCTCACATCCCGTAAGTTTGAATTCTTTATATGATTTTTTACCCAGGTTAGGAGCCTAATTGCACATTACATTAGTGACCTAATGGGCAATCACTTGGGGGGAAAAAGAATCTCATACCTAAAAGGAGTGGAGTGACCCCCCCGCACATCAGTGAGGACTGAACATGCTCAGTGGGCATGGAATGTTGACTGACACTTAGGAGGAGTGAATAAGGTGGAATAGAGTATCCTGAAAGAAGACAAGCATGACTCATTGGATCCCTGAACAGGAGCATCCTACAATCCAACATTTTGTGCTGGGTCCTTTTTGTTCAAGCAAACTGGGAAGCTGAGCTTGATCCATATGGATCTTTTTCTCTGGGCAAGTCAGGACACAAGTTGCAAGTAGATAAGCTAGTTCCACTCAGTTACCAGTAAGCAGCCTATAGTATTAATTTATTTTTCACCTTTTGTACCACAAAAAGAGGGTTTTGATATGCCAATTAAACTTTTATGAATAGGTTATGTGAGAAATAGAACTGACAAGCAAATCTCTACGATTACATAAGTATGCTAATTTATTTAAATTTAATTGATTAAAAACCAGGTATTAATCAACTGGAAAAAAACATTTAATTTGTTGACAGCCCTAATTAGAATTAATAACAATAATGCTTATAAGCGGCATGTGAAACAGTAAACCCCGACTTTGTTTTGCTTGTTGTTTTATATCAGTGGCATTTTGTGTTTACAGTGGTACCTCGGGTTAAGAACTTAATTCGTTCTGGAGGTCCATTCTTAACCTGAAACTGTTCTTAACCTGAGGTACCACTTTAGCTAATGGGGCCTCACGCTGCCACGTGATTTCTGTTCTCATCCTGAAGCAAAGTTCTTAACCCGAGGTACTATTTCTGGGTTAGCGGAGTCTGTAACCTGAAGCGTATGTAACACAAGGAACCACTATATTTGGGTTGCTTTGCTCTCTCGGCACTCAAAGTCACAGGCACTATTTCTTGTACTACATATCAGCATGTGCTATAGCCACATCTTAAGCAGTCTACTCAAGAATAAGAAGGCACCTTAGCTCATGCACGCAAAAATTCAATCTCTGGTCTCTGCAGATAAGGCTGAGAAATAATAATTGCTGTCATCGGTAATGAGCTAGATGGATCAGTGGTCTGATTTGATATAAGGCAACTAACTGCCTATGCCCCAGATATTTGTTTGCCAACTCTGTAATAGTTCAGGTCGTTGCAAATTTTTGTGAGTACACGAGTCTGCCCACTTTCTCCCCATGAAGTCCTTCACCAGCGCAGGCCAGAGAGGTATTGCTGAAAAGGTTAATAGAATGTATTTGGGGATCCTATAGAATTTCACCTAGGAGAGCTCCTTAAAGATTGCCTAGGGGAATAGGATTTGTTCCCCCTGCTTTAGAAGAAAATGTGAATGTAGTAGGCATTCAATTAACCATCAACCTGCAACATAAACTTCTTTCAATGCCTAGCTATTGATATCACCCAAAGAAACAGACAAAAAGATGGAAGGTTGCTATAATGGCCACTGATGTCACAAAAGCTCTGCTTGGCACCTCAGGAACATGGTTGCAGTCGCAAGCCACACCTGATTAGGACTGATGGGAAGCCCCTGGTCTAACTGAAGTTAAAGTTGCCATTCACCCACTCATGAATCTTCATAGTCATAGTTTCATGTGGACATTTTGAATAAAAAAAGAAATCTACTCAAGGTTTAAAGGTAAAGGTAAAGGGACCCCTGACCGTTAGGTCCAGTCACGGACGACTCTGGGGTTGCAGCGCTCATCTCGCTTTACTGGCCAAGGGAGCCAGCGTACAGCTTCCAGGTCATGTGGCCAGCATGACTAAGCCGCTTCTGGTGAACCAGAGCAGAGCATGGAAATGCCGTTTACCTTCCCGCCACAGTGGTACCTATTTATCTACTTGCACTTGGACGTGCTTTCGAACTGCTAGGTGGGCAGAAGCTGGTTTAGTTTGACCCAATTAAGAGTTAAATCAGAACCAAAGAATTTGAGAGCCATCTCATTGATTTGTTGAGGTGTACTGAGAGTCATATCCTAAGAATCTCTCTTATTTTATTTTGTATATTATGCTATGTTTTCAAATTAATCAGGAGGCATTCAAAAGTGCTGGTTATTTTTAGATGGATAAAATGAGAGTCCTGGATTGACACATTTAAATCAAAATGAATATTCAGACATCTCTGCAATACTCCCCAAAAGTTTCTGGCTGCACTGCTGCTTCCCTTCACTTTTTGTAATAGTGCAAAGCTATGCATGTCAACTCAGGAGAAAGTCCTATTTGGTTCAGTGGGACTTAAACTCAGGTATCACTGTCAGATGCTCTACTGCCCATTTAGAAGGGGCAAGGTTCATGGGAGCATGGCAAGGGTGAGGAAAAAGCAAAGGTGGAAATGATGCAGAGGCAAGTCTGCAATAGAGGATGGCAGCAAGCAGTTCCCCTGTTTCTTAGACTAGAGAGCAAACCTGACCCCTAGGAGTTTTCATATGGACTGTATCTTATCACATTACATGATGTGGCTTATTGCTGTCAAAGAAGCTTCTTTGCTAACTTGGCTTGATATTCTGCATCCGGGCAAAAGCTTGGTGGCAGCATGTGGGCTGGATCCTCACCTGATATCCTACAGGCCAGATGTCCAGGGCTCACTGCAATCTCAAGTCCTGATGTGCAATGTGAGTTGGGTTACCCGTCATCACATTTTCAAGGCTAATTTCTCAGCTGAATCAAATGTTTTCAGTCCCTTCCATTCATATATAATATGCATGACCCCTCCTCATTCCATTCTGTACACTTGGACTGATACTACTCTGTTTGTGTATAATGGATTCTGTTAAGACACAAAATACATTTTATTTTGTTTTCATGGCTTTTTAATTTTTAAATATATATTATATTTTCTTTTCAGAAAAAAATAGCTAAGATATTATATAGGTAAAAAGTTTGATCAGGAAGAAGTAGGCACTTCCTGCTTTCTTTCTTCTGCATGTTCATACTCCCCTTATCTTTGGAAAGCAAGCACTCAACATCCTCAGATTTGCCAAGAGAAACTCTTGATGAGCTTAAATCTGTGTTTGGCACCAGAGAGCAGAAGGTCTGGGCACCAAAGCAGGCATCACTAATGTGCAGAGCCCAGGCTTTCCTACTGACAAACTTTTATGGCTGTCGACAGTCAGCAGCCTTGGCTGAAGGCACTTGCCCAGGGGAAATTTAATTGCCTTGTGTACTTCATTAAAGGGATAACTGTGATGGTGGGGGAAGGGGGTGCATGAATCTCAGCCAAATCTGGTAAACATATTTCTGGCACAATGCTAAATTACACTTTCTGTACCCCCATCTGCATTTGAAGACTCTTGATTCTCAAAGGGAACACTTAGAGCTGGCTATCTTTTAAAGAACACAGAAAGATGCTTAATTGGGACTCTTGCAAACTATAAAGAGATGTATTGGTGGGCATGCAGAGTAGCAAACTGGCTATAAAAAAAGTACTGACACAGTTTAATTTTCATCTGTGTTGCAAGTAAAGATAGGCAAACTCTCCCAAGCTTGATTTGGATTCAGATTGGTAATTATGAGCAAAATACAGAAACACTTGCAGAAAAAGTTCCTTTTACCCCCAAGGCTTCTGTCTGCCATGATTGTGAGCCCACAAATCCCATTTCCTCCTGCACAATGACTGCTGTGGCTGCAGCCAGGGAAGGAGGGAACCTATGGTTTCTCCTCTTCCCCTTCTTCTTTCTCCGTCCCTTTTTCCAGTCCCTTTCACAGTAAAGATACAGAAGAAATAGTACTAAGGTTGCATTTAAAGGCAAACCTGTCTAATCTGCCCGTTTTGGGGAAAAAAATATGAGTATGGAAACACAAAATTTTCAAATCCGTGGCTTCGCTTTTGAAAAACAGGGGCTCCACAGTACTTAGCTAACTGGGAACCACAGTATTATATAATTTATATCCAGTCCCTCATCTTAAGATATGAGGGTTGGTAACAGTAATTAAAATATATAAACCACCCAGAGTTTGAAACACAGTAAAAGCACTTCCATCTGCCACTGTTTCTGTACAGCCCAGTTTCCCTTGAATATTCAAAAAGGCACCAAAAGATGGTTAATATTGGCATGCCATACCTCAGAATATTCAATTTTTGGGGTGTCATTGCCTAGAAGGGTCGTTGGAAAGTCAGAGAACCCTGAACTTTAGTATGTGATGGAATCTCAAAGCATAGGTCAAACAGTACAGAGAGAGGTGTTCCTTTGGGTAACAGGGCTGTATTTATATGTCAAAACCAAAACCTTGAATCGGACGTAGTAGCAAATTGGCAGCCCGTGTAAATCTTTAAGGGCTGGCATAATGTGGTCTGGCATGGTGAAGCCATCAGCATGCTAATAGCAGCATTTTGACCTACCTGCAAACTCAGAACCATCTGCAAGGACAGCACCACCTAGAGTTCATTACAGTAACCTTAAAGGGGGCTTAGGAGAGTGTGGCTAACTACCGTATTTTTCGCACCATTGGACGCACATTTTTTCCTTTAAAAACTAAGGGGAAAAGTCTGTGCGTCCTGTGGAGCGAATGTGTGGTCCTGGGACTTCCCCCTCCAGCCCCTCCAAGCTCAGGTTGCAGCGGAGAGGCTGCGTGGGCGGCTGGGGAAACCCCGGGCTTCCCCATTCAGCCCGACAAACAGCTGAGAGGCTGCGTGGGCGGCTGGGGGAAGCCCTGGGATTCCCCATTCAGTGCTACGAGCTCAGGGCGCTCAGCGGGCAGCAGAGAGGCTGCCTGTAACTTGCCCTCTGTCCGTGAGCCGCTCTAGGGGGCTGGCTGGGGGAAGCCCTGGGATTCCCATTGAGTCGGAGGAGCTCAGGGCAGTCAGCGCGCAGCGGAGAGGCTGCCTGTAACTTGCCCTCCGTCCCGTGAGCCGCTCTAGGGGGCTGGCTGGGGGAAGCCCTGGGATTCCCATTGAGTCGGAGGAGCTCAGGGCGGTCAGCGCACAGCGGAGAGGCTGCCTGTAACTTGCCCTCCGTCCCGTGAGCCGCTCTAGGGGGCTAGCTGGGGGAAGCCCTAGGATTCCCATTGAGTCGGAGGAGCTCAGGGCGGTCAGCGCACAGCGGAGAGGCTGCCTGTAATTTGCCCTCTGTCCGTGAGCTGCTCTAGGGGGCTGGCTGGGGAAGCCCTGGGCTTCTCCATTGAGTCCAACATGAGCCGCTCTAGGGGGCTGGCTGGGGAAGCCCTTTACAATGAGCCGGAAGATTTGGACATCCCCTTCCGTCCCTCCCCCAGGTTATTGTGCCGGTAATTCCCGGCATTTCCTCCTTTTGCTCCGGTTCCACGAGGCAAGGCAGCTGCCCTCCACAGACATCCAGAAATGTGAGATCTCCCTCTCTCTTCCTTCTTTCCCTCCCTCCCTCCTTAATTCCCTCCCTCTTCCACCTTAAATAAAATATTGGGGGGGCAGTAAAGCCCCACCTCACATACCACAATTCAGCCCTTCTCAACCTGTGGGTCCCCAGATGTGAATGCCTCTAGGTAGCAAGGCCAGAGCTCAGGGAGGATGGGAGTTGAGGGATGATAGGAGTTGTAGTCCAACAACATCTGGGGACCCACAGGCTGAGCTCTCCCTCTCCCTTCCTTCCTTCCCTCCCTCCCTCCCTCCCTCTCTCCCTCCCTCTTCCAACTTAAAAATATGGGGGGGGGCAGTTAAGCACCCAATAGTAAACATTGGAGATACTGTACTGTACTTTACTGACAGTTCCTTACCACTGTATTTTCTTGCAGAAAACCTCCCCCATTCTGATAAGGATGATAAAGCATAAAAGACTAGCATATAAGATTCCTTTTAAACTAGAGGTAGTAAAATATGCTAAGGAGCATGGAAACAGAGCAGCAGAGAGACATTTTGGACCACCTCCAACTGAAAAAATGATAAGACAGTGGAGGAAACAGGAGGATCAGATGCAAAAAGCAGATAAAAGCAAGCACACTTTTCGTGGACATGCTGCAAAGTGGCCACAGATGGACATTGCCATGAAAGAATGGATCACAAAACAGCGGAATAAAGGCTTCGCAGTCTCTACAAAAATGATAATATATGAAGCCAAACGCATTGCTTTAGAGAAAGGCATTCACGATTTTACTGGCTCACCATCATGGTGCTACAGATTTATGAAGCGATGTGGCCTTGCTATGCGCACTAAAACTAGAACTGCACAAAAAATGCCAGAAGAATATGAATCTAAGATTCTGTCTTTTCATAAATTTGTAATTGATGCTAGGAAGAGAAATGGATTTGAAATTGGCCAGATTGGGAATATGGATGAAGTCCCTCTAACCTTTGATGTGCCATCAAATAGGACTGTTGATCGGAAAGGTGCCAAAACTATTGCCGTGAAAACCTCTGGACATGAGAAAACCCATTACACTGTTGTGTTGTCTTGCTGTGCAGATGGCACCAAATTGCCACCCATGTTAATTTTCAAAAGGAAAACATTTCCAAAAGAAGTGATTCCACGAGGAGTTGTTGTACATGTTCATGAGAAAGGATGGATGGACGAAAATGGAATGAGAGTATGGGTTGAAAAAGTGTGGTCCAAACGTCCTGGAGGGCTTTTGAAAAAACCTGCCTTATTAGTACTTGACCAGTTTAGAGCACATATTAGCGAAACTACAAAAAAGTGCTTTAAAGAAGTGAAGACTCATCTAGCTGTAATTCCTGGAGGTCTTACCAGCCAGTTGCAACCTCTCGATGTTTCCATCAACAAGCCATTTAAGATCTTTATGCGAGAAGAGTGGAACAAATGGATGGCTGCTGGTAATCATGATCTAACACCCACTGGACGAATGAAGAGGCCCACTATCACTCAAGTTTGTGAATGGGTGAAAACATCATGGCACTCGGTGAAGGAGGAAATCGTTGTCCGGTCATTCAAAAAATGTGGCATTAGCAATGCTTTGGATGGTAACGAAGATGGTATTTTACATGAAGATAGCGAAGAAAGTGATGTCAGTGATTGTGAGCAACTGAGCTCCACAAATTCTGACTCTAGCAGTGATGAGTTCTTGGGGTTCACAGAAGACTAGAAGATTACTCAAACTTTAAAGTCTCTCTTCATTTGTTAATGACAGTGATGATGGTTCTTAATGCCATTGTTGACTGCTGTTCACTTTACATGGCTGTAATATGATTCTGATATACTGGTTGTTTATTAAATACAGTAGTTTATACAACATTTGATTCAGAATATTTTTTACTTGTTTTCCTCCTCTAAAAACTAGGTGCGTCCTTTGCTCCGGTGCGTCCAATGGTGCGAAAAATGCGGTATGACCAGACTATCCCAGGCTATGCATTATTTTGCAATACCTCCCATAGGGGACCAATAAGTTTCTATTGTGTCCCCTTCCTATTGAAAATAGGATCATCTGGTGACCAGGATTCCATTAATGAACAGATGACACCAAGTCTTCCCCCCCCCCCCTTTTGCATCTGAACAACCATGGCAGTGCCTGCAGTTATTTTATTAAGTAGTGGTTGAGGATGCCAGGAATAAAAATCTGGGCCCCCCATGATGCAAAAACCACCCCTTCCCTTCCCCTGAGATTATTTTCAAAGATCTTCCTTAATTATTTTATTCATTTATTGATGTTTTTATTCCAACCATCCACAAAGAAGCTTAGAATATAAGGAAATGTAAATGTAACGCAATCAATCAATAACGAAAACAGTTTAAAACATATAAAACACATGCAAAAACATTCAGATAAGATAGTGCATGGGAACATTCCAATCTAGACCAGCAAGAATAAAACACAGAGCAATAACAATAAAAAACCCACACACGTCAGCATCAGCAACTGAAAGCAGAGTAGGATTTAAAAAAAAACAAAAAACTCTTTTGTTGTTGTTGTTTAGTCATTTAGTCATGTCCGACTCTTCGTGACTCCATGGACCAGAACACGCCAGGCACTCCTGTCTTCCACTGCCTCCCGCAGTTTGGTCAGACTCATGTTTGTAGCTTCAAGAACACTGTCCAACCATCTCGTCCTCTGTCGTCCCCTTGTCCTTGTGCCCTCCATCTTTCCCAACATCAGGATCTTTTCCAGGGAGTCTTCTCTTCTCATGAGAACTCTTTAAGGCTTGTTAAAAAATTACTAAACTGCATTTGCCAAAAAGGGTAAAAAAGGATATATGTCTACTCAGAAGGAAGCCCCATTGGGTTCAAAAGGATTTACTCCCAGCTAAGCAAATGTAGGATTGTAGCCACAGAGATACATTTTGCCTCACTTCTCTTTTATCCCCCAAATAAGTGATCATGTAAATAGCAGTCTGGTGGAAACATCTTTGGTGTTCTATTAAAAAAACCATGTGAACAACCTTGACATTCTTTTTATGGGTAGGTCAGAGTTGTTGTCACCTAAACCTCTAAATCCCGATTCTGAGAACAATTCCCTTAAGAACTCGTGTTGCCAAAGCTCTTATTTGTACTTCTAAAATGGGTTTTAAACTTGAGGAATTTGAGTGGTTGGGGTGTAAAACAGATAGAGCAAATAAAATACTTTTTATCGTCACATTTAATTGTAAGGATTCAAAGAAATATGAATCTAAACTATAATGTTACATTGATAGCAAAGGATACATTACCATCTAATGAAAAATATACCATGAATCATTCATAATTTGCTCAATAATAAGTTTCGCTTGGCTGCATTTTATGATGTTGAACAGAATGTAATCAGGCTTGATGACCTTTAAGGACTCCTTACAGGTATCTCAAAATGTATTCTGTATTCTACAAGGTCTCTAAATGTTCTTTTATCCAGGACTTTGAAAGACAAAGCTATTTTAAGATGTATTTCATATCCTTTGATTTAACAAAACTTCATAGTCTCAGATTAGCATGGTTCTTATTTTATCTCTGTTGAAAAGGATTGTGGCTGCAACCTTACGTACACTTGCGTGGGACTGGGAGGAAGTCCCATTGAGCTCAGTTGCCTTACTGCTGAGTAGATATTTACAGGACTGCATTCTGTTCCATTCTCCAAGTATGATTTAAAAAAGATGGTACTAAACTACTGTGAAACTTCCTGATAGCTGAGGGAAGAATATCATGAGTTTTTAAAGCATATGAGGATTATTATTTTTGAAATCTTTTGTAGGGTTTTGGCAGAGTGTATTAGTAACCTGGCTAGTAGAACTAATTTTCTTTCTTTAAGGGGAAGGGGAAATGATACTTTTTTAAAAAAAAGTATGTATGTGAATGGAGTGGGAATATAAATGCCTTGTTGAGTTTGAAGCTGCAGTCCTATACTCATTTACCTTGGTGTAAGCCCCACTGAGCTATATGTAAGGAAAGGCTTACTTGTCATACACCACCATGATTGAAAGCTCTTAAAGTATTTCAGTTTATTGTGAGTAGTGTTTTTGAATGAGATGGATTCCAGTTGGACTGATTTTGTGTGTGTGTGTTTCAGTATTAGATAATTTGTTTTTAGATATTTGCTTCCCTTGCAAATGGGTCTCATTGCTATACATGTTTTTTCTTTAGTTCTATTTTGGAGCTTTTGCAAAGTGCTGTTTATAATGTTGGCTCTGGGTGCTTTGGAATGAGCTTAATTCACAGTAAAGACTGTTGGACAGCTTCATTCTGTCAAACCAGAAAGAGGAAGGGCAATAGTATTTTTAAATCAGTTGGGTATGCACTTTGGAACATGATGATAAAATACTTAACCCTTTTTTATTTTGTTCAGTGCTGTCTTTCAGAAAACATCATATGATCCCCTGACTTTAAAGCAGAACAAGTATGAGACCTTTATAGAAAAGAAAACATTTTCTTGGATATATTTCAGCATATCAAATGAAGGAAGGAATAGGTTTTCACTTTACTCTTAACATATCTATTTTTTGTTATGTGCTAAAAATGTCTACTTGTTTCTTTAATCCCTCACAAATTAATCTTATTTCTGGTGTCATAAAATAAGTGCATGACAAGGTAGAAAATAAAATTCACAGTGAGCTGCCAGTGTCTGTGACTATTTTGAGACAGGGATTTTCACCAGCCCTTTCTTTTTCTGAATCAGAAGTAAACTTAATAAAAAGAAAGCAGAGGCTTATCACAAAGGTAGACACCTAATCAGGCAGGAGAAGCTACTGATGATCACAGTCCAACCGTGCTGTCTGGTCTAGAAGATGCTGTCCAACAGAAATCTAAGACAATAATTAAAAGCAGAATGTGGGGGCAGCACCATTGATAACTTAATAAGGTAGAAATGCAAATTCCTTTGTATGATTGATTTTGGACCAGCATCTAACATTTTCAGGCAGGGTGGTAGGGAGGAATCATTTGAGCTTGAAGTTTCTGATGTGTATTCTCAGACCAGAAAAGAAACGTCTTTGTTGTTTGTACCATTTTTTCTTCTTTTCAAATTGGAAGTTAATCAAACAAGTTGCGTTGGAGTTCTGGGACTTTGGAGGGGGGGAGTTTTTCCTCTATTTTCAGATTAAGCTTTTCTTTTCGTTTGCCTCTCCTTGTACCCTTTGCTGATACTTTCTCCATCAGATTTAGCAGAGTGAGCCAGGGGCTCAGTTTGCATTCACTCCCTAAACACACACTTGCCATTGAATTTGTCTCAGCCCTTAGTATAATTAGTATGCAGCCTGACTTTGCTTGCAGCTCGCTGCTAAAAGCACAGACCAAAAATGCCAGTGTCTTCCATTGTCACAGCCACAGAATTAGAGCTGGGAAAGGACAAACAGGATCTATTCCCACCTTCTGTCCACACCTAGTACCATCTACCACCAACAGATTCACCTCCCCGTAAACCAGGTCATAGTTGGTTGCTCAGTGAGCTGTGCCTACAGAATAAATAACTAAAGATAAGACAAGCAAGACAGAAGTTAAAATAAAGTCTGACCTGTTAGACAAAGGAGATACTCCTATCTCAGGCTAAATTAGGGTGGCCATGTGTCCTATTTTACAGTCCTCTATTTGAAGGGCTCTCTAGTCCAAGGGTCATAGGCCAGGAGTCAGCTTTGTGTGCTGAATAGCAGCCTGAAGGAGGAGAAGGCAGAATGGCTCCAGCTGCAGCTACTCAGCCTTGTAGGACACAGAGGAGGCACTGATGAGAACCAGCTGGCTTCAGTCTTCTTAAGCAGAGCTTCCAGCAACAGTCTGATGCTGGTAACAACGCTTGTCGTTCCTGGTCCTACTTTGCTGCTTCCTGCCCATCTTGACCCTTGACGCCATGATCATTGGCTTCCCTGAACCCTGGACAGCCTGACCATGTGGATTGCTGTTTGTCTGACTAGACCTGACTTTGGATGCTGACTCTGCCTCCAGGCAAGTAGACCTCAGAGATTCTTCTGGCCTCCCACTCCACTGAGCTCTGCACATTGTTGCTCTGTAATGAGACTACAACACCAAGCCTGATAACCAAGATGAGGGAGAGCAGGAAGCCTTGAAGTTAGCATTTACAAATTACAAATTAAAATTTGTCGTGCTTTGTCCCTGCTTCTTTCCAGCTAGTTTCTTGTTTGAGGTTGAGAAATACGTCCGTATGTTTAAATTCATTCAACTCATTGGTTATATCAGTTAAGCAATCCTAAACGCTTATTTGACAACTTCAGTTAAAGCACCAATTCCGTGGGTGCACAGCTGCCTACAATTAAGAAAAATTCTGCTCCTAAAAATGTTATTGTATTGTGATATGCTCTGATGTGCCTACAACTTCCAGGAGTGACACCTTAGTGCCTTCCACCTGCACTACGTCAGGAAGATTTTGGGCATTACATGGCAGGATAGAGTCTCAAACAACTCTGTGCTCTCCCAAGTCCACATTTCCAGCATGTTTGCACTCCTGTCACAGCGACATCAACACTGGCTTGGTCATGTCCACAGAATGGAAGTTGGCAGGATCCCCAAGGATGTTCTCTTCAGGGAGTTGATTTCAGGCACCAGGCCCTTTGGCAGACCAACAAAGATGTCTGCAAGTGAGATATGAAGGCTGACTGCCTTGCTGACATCACCATGCTTGGTGACTATCACAGTGCCTGGAGACAGATATTCAGGTTGTGTATCCACAGTTGTGACCAGTAGAGTAATGACCGTTGTGAGGAGTGCAGCGAGAAGAAACTCCATGGTGCATCTGTAGCAGCAAAACCAGATGCCTTCATCTGCCCCAACTGCAATAAAACACATCTCTCCCATATCTGTCTCTACAGCCACAGCAGGTATGGTAACTCTCCAACATTTTGACTTCACCTTCAAAGGTGCACTCCTACGTTGTCTCCCAAGACAGACAGATGCCAGCAACAACAAGACT